AACCTGGCAACACCAAGTCTTCATGCGATAGGGATATGGTCTTTCGCCCGATAGGGATAAAACATGATTATGGAATTAACTTGAGACAAAGCTGTTTTGCCGTCAACAATTTTGATGCGAAGAATCGAAATCAACGAACATCTGTTGTGACTTAACATGCTTTTGTTTTGAAGTGTTTGCAGTTTTGCTGGTACCATTCTGCCAGAGAAACTTGCAAGGCCCTGCATTAGAGCGTGTTTATATGACACGCACAAATGTTTGTTGTCCCTTCTGTTTTTGATCCATTGCCGCATCACATGTGTTTTTTTTTTTCTGTGAAGGAATTCTTGTTGCTGGTTTGCATCTAGAACTGTGCTATGCTTTGTTGATTCTTGGGATTCGCCTGCAACATGATATGCCCCTGAGGCTGCCGAAGGTTCCGGAGCCGAAGGTGCAGGGTGATCCCTTGCTACAGATCAGCTGGTTTTGTACACCATGATGTCGTCAGCCATGTTTCAGGATCGCCTTCCAACAAAAAACAGTTTCCTCTTCTCCCGCCATTTGATCTGCATTTGATGATCTGATGGTGTTCTTTTTTCTTTCTCCTCACTGTCCTCACTATGGCTCGCGTTTTGCGAGGTGCAAGCTGCTCCTAAGCTGTCAGCGGCTGCAGGTCCTGGTACCAGGGTGAATGTACAGGTTTGAAGTCAATCTGGCGTCATACGGCGAACCGTTCGGCTATTGCTTGGAAACCACTGAGTCTCTTTCTAGGTGAAGCAGATGCCAAGCCCAAGGCTGGAGGGTTTGCTCTGGGGTCTGTTGGTATCGCTCAAGCAAGTGGGTTTCACCAATCTGGAAGATGTTGGAAAAGGAGCTGCAGACACTTTCAAATCGTGAACATGTGACTCTTTGGATTGAAGAAGTTGGAGGCAATTCCCATGGGTCTGAACCTAGGATTCGCCACGCTAAGATCAACTGAACAAGCTCCGCTGTGAATGGAAGCAGATTGGAAACACCTATATAACTCATTGAATTAATTGTTTGTACGAATTATCCTTAAGATTGTCAAGAGGTTGCTTGAATTAGCTCTGACCTGTTTCACTACGGCATTTCAAGTGCAACTAGCCAGAGGCCCTTGCAGGCTTGTGTCGCTTTCTGTCATTTCATTTTATTAGTATTATTATGTTTTCTCTTTAAACAAATATTTTCAAAAATCTTTTTGCCAGATACAATTTTTGTAGTTGTGCCATAGAACAGCTTTTGTCTTGTCTAGCAGGATGGCATCCTCAGCCAATACTGGGCTGGTGGATGTCATCACCTATTGAAAGTGCCAATTGTGATATCCCGGCATCCCCTGTTTTCAAACAAATCCATATGGGATAAACATCCACAAATTCGCAGAATTGGACAAAGGGAATTCACGTTCTCTCGATAGCAATTCGAGAGAAAAAACCACGGTGTTTTGTAGATTTTCCATTGTTCTTCCAGGCCATTTCTAGCTTGCTGGGCGCCTACAGCGACAGTGAAGATGAGGAAGAGGAACAGGTGCAGCATTGGTTGGACAAGGATCTGGCTGAGTCGGAAAATCCTTCCATTTTCTTTGGATGATTGGTGAACATGGGTATTCCCATTTTTCGGCTTTGGATGATTAATCCTCAGAATCATAAACCATCTGATAGTTTTGAAACTGCTCAAATGATCCACGCCCGGTGTTGGGATCATCATTCATGGTCAAATCATCTGAACTCAACATTCAAGCCGTTAAAATTCATGAAAAATATAGTTTCTAGTATATAAGCCCCAAAATGATAGAACAGAAACTCATCATCAAAATCCTTTGGGATGAATATCATTTCTAGCCCCACCATTTCCCGATGTTTGAACACTTTTCCATGCCAGATGAAGCCGGGCCGCCTTTCCACGGCGGCAGCAGCAGTGGTGGCCGCTGCAGGAGCTCCCTTTATGCTTTATGGGGGGTTGAAAAGTGGGGCATCCGATGATTGTGAAGTGTGGGCTTTTGGGAAAATGTAATCGATTTTGACCCATTTGACCCCTTGTGCCACTATTCATGGTGTTTTTTGGTGCCACTATTTGAACAGCCAAATGTGGCAGGAGCCAATAAGGCCCGTGCGGAGGCGTGGTCGGGGTTGGACCTGAGTTTTTTGGGTTGGAAAGGGAGGTTCATGCAGCAAAAACAGGGGAAGACATCCAGAATATGAACACATAAAGTAGAACAAGCCATACCTAACTCAGGACACCAATAGTCAATAGCCCTAGTCGCCTTTGGCACAACGACTGGATGTCCACAGATACCATCCAGCGCAACCAAACCTATTTATACCAGCCATCTCTTGTGATTTTTGAAGGATAGATTATCATTGGGTTACAGCTTTCTTCTGATTGGCAGGCTGTGAAACCACCAGCATTGAAAGCTTCTCAGGAGTCAAGATCAGGCTGGGATATGGTGATGTGGTATTCCTGGTTAAAGGTAGCGGGTTTTCTCTCCTTTCTAGTACGGGTCAGAACCACTAGCAATCCTGTGCCTGTGATGGTTACTTCCATGGTACACACTTTGATTTCGACCATTGTGTACACTTTGGTTGGTGGTTTCAAGTTACTCTAAATGTCAACACATGGACATGGGATGATTATCCCCAATCGACCAATCTTTTTCTGAAGGGTTTCCAATCCACCAAGCAGAATACGCATATTCGGTTGGTTTGCTCGCATGAGATTACATCAGTGCTGTGCAGGAGATATTCACGGTCCCAGAGAAAGTGTGAATCTATCCTAAGTATCTGGGTGTGTCTGAAAATGGGAAATAATGGTCTGGCACGGAGGCATTCCTGTGTCCACTGGAGGTTTGCTATACATCTTCTCATAACATCTTATCATCTTCACATCTTCACATCTTCTCATCTTCACATCTTCGCATCTTCTCTCTCTCTCTCTCTCCTTCTCTCTCCCTCTCTCCTTCTTCTCATCTTCTCATCTTCACATCTTCTCATCTTCACATCTTCTCATCTTCACATCTTCTCATCTTCGCATCTTCTCATCTTCACATCTTCACATCTTCACATCTTCACATGATCTCTCTCTCTCTCCTTCTCTCTCCTTCTCTCTCCTTCTCTCTCCTTCTCTCTCCTTCTCTCTCCTTCTCTCTCCTTCTCTCTCCTTCTCTCTCCTTCTCTCTCCTTCTCTCTCTCCGCTCTCCCTCTCCCTGTCTCCGTCTCTGTCTCTGTCTCTGTCTCCCTCTCTCTCTATCTCTCTATCTCTCTCTTTTTCTCTTTTTTTTTTCTCTCTCTCTCTCTCTGTGTCTCTTGCCCTCTGGTCACGGTCTCGTCACGGTCTCTCTGCTTCTTTTTCTTTTCTCTCTTAAGGCCGCAGGCAGTGCCGACGAGGTGCCACGAAGTTGCCACCTTTTCGCACGAAATGAGGTTCGAGTGTCAGAAACTGAGTTTTTTTTTGCGAGTTTGGTTGGTCCGGCGGCAACATTTTCGCACGAAATGAGGTTCGAGTGTCACAAGCTGAGGCAAAATTGCGATTTTACGGTGTCTGCGGCAACCCTTTCGCAGGAAACGAGGTTCGAGTGTAGAAGTCGGTGTGTGCGAAAGGGTTTGTGTGTAAAAGCGTTTGTGTGTAAAAGGATCGCGTGTAAAAGTGTTTGTGTGTAAAAGAGTTTCTGTGTAAAAGCGTTTGCGTTCAAACGTGTTTGTAGAAGTGTTGGTGTGTAAAAGCGTTTGTGTCTAGAAGTGTTTAGAAGCGTTGGTGTGTAAAAGCGTTTTTGTCTAGAAGTGTTTCTGTGCACAAGCGTTTGTGTGTAAACATTCTTGTGTGTAAAAGCGATTGTGTGTAAAAGAGCTTATGTGTGAAAGGGTCTGTGTGTAAAAGTGTCTGTGTGTAAAAGTGTTTGTGTGTAAAAGGATTGTGTGTAAAAAACGTGTGTCCGTCTGTGAAAGCATTTGTGTATAAAAGAGTGTGTGCGTAGAGAAAAAGTATGTGCGTGTAAAAATGTCTGCATATAAAAGCTTCCTATGCACCTCGTCAGGTTTCAGCTTAGAATCTTCACATATCATCTCTATCTTCTTTCTGCTGATCATCTGCAGCATTTTCTTTTCTTTAGCATACAATACATCTGAGTTTGTGTGTAAAAGGGTCTGCGTGTAAACGTGTTTGTGTATAAAAGTGTTTATGTGTAAAAGAGTCTCTGTGTAAAAGCGTTTGTGTAAAAGCGTATGTGTGTAAACGTGTTCGTGTGTAACAGTTTTTGTGCGTAAAAGCGATTGTGTGTAAAAGTGTTGGTGCGGTAAAATCACAGTTGTGTGTGAGGCATGTTTGTATGTATCAGCATGCTTGTATGTTAAAAGTGTCTGTCTCAATTCTTCTTCCTGTGTCTCCTTCCTTTCATCTTTCTTTTCTTTCTCCTTCGATTTCTTCATATGTACCTACTCTTCACAACATGTCTGCACCATGTCTCCTCATTTTATGCATCATCGTATATTTCTATATTTATGTTTCATGCTATTAGATCTTCATACTTAAACCTCTCACTATGCTCCTCTCCGCTCTCGGGCCATCCGTCTAGTTTCAAGCTGGACAATTATGATGAACCAGCGGAATGGGGTACATTTGACACCACCTATGATTTGTGCCCTGCTTCGCCAGTAGCGCCCTCGGGGCCCCCCAAGCCGGCCGTGCCGCTGGTGCCGCCAGCACCGGTCACCACGGTCACCGTGGCCACGACGGCCACGCGGGCGGCAGCAGCGCGACACGATGGGGTGCCGGGGGTCGGATGGGGTCCATGGAATACCGTGGAGCTGCTGACTGGAACTCAGGGGTAGCGCACGAGGAGATTCTTCAACGATCACGAACAGATAGAAATAGGATGTCAAGAAAAGCAGCTAAACGGATGTAAACTTTTTGGAAAGGTGCCAGATCTTTCGGAGGTTCCCGAAACCAAGGTTGCCCTGGCAAATTTGTTTCACGGCTGAACATACATGGCCTTGACCGCAGATTTAAGGGTTCAAGCCATCTTGTAGAACTCCTCCGCCAACTTACCACTGTGTTGGCAGGCCAGTGGATGCCATGGGTGGGTTCAGACATCTAACTTGAACCGGTTAATTGGTTGATGAACATAGGGGGTTCAAATCGGTTTCATCCATCCACTGGAACTCAAGGCCAAAGATTTGATCCATTCAATCACCAAAAAATGGCTGATTATTGGTCGGGGTTGGGGGCCCCATTTGAAACCTTCACATTGGGGGACTGAACATTTCTAGAAGTGGAGAGAAGAACACCATGGCATCAGGCTGGCTGATCACAGGTGCATGTGTCGATTTCATGCTGCTATCCGAGTCCTAGGGCTTCGGGAATACGCCGCACACACCGCTCCACCAACTCACTTCACCTTGGCATTTGGCGTTGCATCCCATGGGCTTTCCATGTCTTCTCTTGTTCCTCCCTTCCTCTGGCGTTCACCCTTCAAACTCAAGTCTGACTTGGAAGTGGAACGTCACAGTGGATTCAACATGATTCAACAATCTTTTCGGAACTTCTGGTTTCTGGACCAATCCCAGTCATCCTCTCCACAGCCTGGATGATTCACCTGCCCAGAACGCATGGCTTCGAGCTCCGAGGTGCGACATGGACACGGGCAAGTTTGTTTTTGCGCCCATTTTTTGGTGGGATGGGGCTGAATATGGTTGATTTATTTGGAATCATTTGCAATTCTTTTTGCAATCATTTCAAATGATTTTGAATTGTAATTTGAATCCCATGTTTGAGTCCCCAATGGCTATGGCTTACCATGCTATGGCTTATCATGTTTGAATCCCCAATACAAACCCGATAGAAACCACGAACCCGAATGCATTTTTCAAATGACGCGCAGAAACAGATACATTTAAAATGTAAACAAGATACCGAACACATCCGAACACCAACTATGTCAAACCACAATCCCCACCCGACGCCTCGCTTCCAACGCCAACAACGGTTTCGCTCCCGACGCCGCGTGCCCCTGTATACTGGATTGGTTTACTGAGAAGTTCTTGCGAATGGAGCGATAAAGTTTTCCGAGCGCTGGTAGTGCAGCCAAACTTGAGTCAGATTGCAAAAGTAGCACCAACTTGTTTACAGCCTAGTTCAGCTCAAGCGATCCTGTGCTATCCTTTGGCCTCGTAGGTGGCAGAAACTGAAAGGGACAGGGGCAACACGGATGCCTCTGCCGACTCTAGGCGGACCTTTTCGTTGTACCGTTGTGCCATGCATGAGGCCATGAGATCCGCTTCATTTGGGATGATTTCATGGAGACACAGTTGGAATTTGCTTCTTGCCAGGAGTCAAGTGGCCCAGGAAGTGACGCTGGTTGAAAGCCATGGACCGTCTGAGGCCGCACTTCTTGTAGTAAATTCACGTGTGAGCCACAAAAAGAACATTGATATCATGGGGACATATATAATGTCTGTGGGTGGTGCGTCGTTTTTTGCCGAGCCCAAAAGCTGGAACAGCACCCTGGAAGCCTGGAACCGGCTGTTGGGTTGCAAAGCTGGGCTAATTACCTTGATAATAATGGTTTTTTGTTGTGCGCAATGTTTTGGGGTTTGTAAGGTCTTAAATTTGCACGACTCACGCCTGCATCAATCTTCCGCCTGATCTTCGCTCCTAGGCCCCGCATCCAAAGGGAAAGGGAAAAGGCCAGCAGGATCATAGGAGGACTTGGAAAGGCCAGGGAATCTGGGTGCACATGTCCAAAGGTGCCACCATGAAATGATCCATGGCCCCAAGAAGTTGAAGATCCCCCAGTCCCAGCCATGTCCCAATGTCATTCAGATCGCCCGAGTTGGGTGTTAGGGTGAGCTGAATCATTGAATATCCAACGTTTTGCACAGCTCAAAATTATCGACCTCCATTTTGGGATGATTCTTTTCAGCGTGGCAGAATTCTCCCCAGGTTTCTCCTGGAGACCCGGTCCTAAGGGAAGGTGTGGAGAGGGAGGTGGTGGCCAAGGGGGCAGCCCGAAACCGAGAGGAAAACATGATTTCAGCATCCCAAATGTCGGTTGGTTGGTTATGTATTTTTTGTCTTCATACTTGGGATGAGGATGATGAGAACCATGAAGATCCCAATCTGACGATTGTTCTGGAGGTAAACCACCAGTAGGGGCAACACCTGTCAACTTTCGCTCCAAGCAATGCTTGGCTTAAGAGAAGGGGTACCGAATCATCTCCAGCAAAAAAAGGGAAAATCAGCTCACACCAAGTTATCCGTATAGTTACAAAACACAGGGGAGCTATCCCTGTGCTTTTTGGTACCGCATAGGCCACCATTGAAATCGCCGGGGGATTCTTTTCACCAACGGTGCAGGAAAGGGAATGATGCGACATGGCCGGGGACACACGAACCTGG